GTGTACAACAGTGACCAGAGAGACAAGTCTAGGCCCTCGTGAAACATACAGACTTGCAGGACAGGCAGGCAGTAAACAAGTAATATACAACTATAAATTGTGAAGGGTGCCAAAGGGAAGTGAGACTGAGCAACAGGTGAAGATGGGTTTTGCCAATAGCTGTTTGAGTGGGTGCCATTTCATCAAAGTTATATAGCAGGTACATTTTTTAATACTGAAAGTTTATGGCTTTTGTTTCTGTCTTGTTTGTTTAGAACCTACATAGAGACAGAGATGAGTAAACTGGCCTTACTTTGGATGTTGGGTGTTGGGATAGCCCCCAGGTACAGTCTGGGGGTGCAGTCAGAAGGTGCTGGGTGTCATGGAGCAGTTCTGAGAAATGTGTGGTCATTCCATGGTGGGCTCCAGGTTCAGCTGAGTCAGCTGTGAGATGAAGGCAGAGGGTCACTATAGGTTTGTCTAGGTAGGGAACATTCTCCAAGGCTGTGCTTGCACATCCAGGGAACCCGTAATTCCTAAGCTCCCCTACAATTATAAATATTGTTTATGTAGAAAATGTATAGGATATGCATCCTAGAAAGTGCTACCCATTTTATTTCTTGAATTCTCTAAAATATGTACATTTTGGCCAATGGGGGGGGAACTCTATTCTTACAGTGGAAAAATTAAAATGTAATTCACCTTGATCCACTTTACAGTATTTCTAAAATGCCAAAAAATCTAGACAGCATGGCAATTTGGCTTTTAGTTATATATGACACACATCCGAGGCCTACTATATGATTTGTACTTGAGCATCAAGAAATGTCATAAATACATGGCTACTTGAATAAATCCAGAAAAAAATCTTTCTGTCGTACAGAAAAAAAACAAGTTTTATTTTTCATCTCTACTATATTTCCAAGAGCTGTATTTCTTGCTTTTGTGGTAAGTCTCAGTGAAGACTTTTTAATAGTAACTAAGAAATATAGTGCCTTTATATGATAGCTCTTCATTAAATTTTTTTTACTGTAAATTCATTACTTTTCTCAAATACTTTTGTCATTCTTGCCACTGTTCAAAATTGTACTGAAACAATTTTTTTAAACTGAAGTATAGTCAGTTACGATGTGTCGGTCTCTGGTGTAAAGCATAATGTCCCAGTCATACATATTCATAAATATATTCATTTTCATTAAAGGTTATTACAAGATCCCAAACATTGTTCCCTATGTGAAACAAATTTCTTAATACAAATTTTCCCTTCTTTCTATCCCAATAGCCCACGGTTGTATTTATAAAAAAGACTTCTACATAGTGGAAAAAAAAAAAGATGATTGTATTCATTCATTCAAAGAATATTTATTATGTGCCCATTAGGTGCCAAATGTTAATTCTTACATTGGGGAAACAGAAGTGAACAAAACAGACAAAAATACGTGCTTTGATTTACTTTCTTTTGTGGTGCAAGGAAAATAAACATAATAAATAAATCATATTTTTCACCTTACAAGGTGATAAGTCCTACTGAGAAAAATATATATCAGGATATACAGAAGCATATAGTTAATTGTAGAAATGCTTTTTATGACAGAGACCAAACTACTGGTCTCTTAAAGAATTTGTAATATAAGAACAGAGTTAACAATATGATGTTGATTTTTATTCCATTTTATTCAGATATATCTAACATTATTTATTGGTGGAATTTTCATATAGAAAATTCATTTAATTCCCCATACAGTCTCACGAAGTAGGCTTTGTCACTTCAGCTCTACAGATGAGAAAGCTCCGATGTGAGGACTCTCCTCACGTGACTCTCCACAGTGGACGCGGTGAGCAAGTGGCGGAGCCAGAACCCACCTCCAGACTTTTGATTCCCAGTCCTCCTGGGTTCTTAGGCTGCCTTGTTGCATCTAACCCTCCAACTACTTTATTACCACCCTCTATCCTGAGAGGGCATAAAGGTTTCAGATTTTGAAGTCCTTCCCATAAAAATAATAAGTGTTCCGTTATAAAACAACTTTCATGGAGTCTAGCGAAGTGACTTCTGCGGGAAAATTTCAGACCTGTCCAGAAGGAGGGAGACGGGGCAGTGACTTTGGGGCTCAGAGTGTCAGCGTCCCTCATTTTTTCCCAAATTCTCCTTGGCAAGAGCCACAAATATCACAAGTTCAGTCGTAGTGGTGGCCAGGTTAAATGTATTCTTCCGCTGAAAAGATACTCTCCAAACTGCAGGAGTAATCAGGAGCTCTCATTTCCAAAAGGGCTGCTTCGGGCATTGGATAATCCCGCATTTGCTGATGCGGTTGACATAATTGTGTTTCACATGCGCAGGGTGTGCACCTGTTGTCGGATCGGCTGAAACCGTTCTCGCCCCTTGGTATTGGGTCATTCTGCTGATACAGTGTGTTATAAATATTACAAGGACAGGGGCAGTTTGTGTTACAGGAGAATACAACATTATCTGACGGACAAGCTTCTTTCCTATTTATTCTCTGTAGTCTGAGACATGAGTTGAAATTTCAGTTTGTGATAAAGGTTATTACAAAATATGGCCAGCAATTAATACTTTGTTTAGAATATGCTGTCTATAAGATTTGCTGGTAAGAGCTACATGGCTCTTACTTAAACTGATCCTGGTTGGGGTGCAGGGCAAGAGAGGGATGGTATCTTTTAAAATAATAGTAACTCAGAGTTTGAAAATACACTCTGCTCCTGTGAAATCACTGCTGTGCTGGAGCCAGCTGTAACTGAGAGGAGCATCCTGTGATTACGAAAGAAAATAATGTGAGAAGGGAATTCTGGGCTCTGTGCATTTTGCTTGAGTGACACTGATATATTTGGAAGCATCTGTCTTCCCCTTTTACCTAGACGCATGTTTGTTTATTTTGGCCTCTTGTGGGCTACTGGGTCCCTCTAACCCCTGAGTCCAAAGGCTCCCCCCGGGTTTGCTTTCAAATACTCCTTCTTGAAAGTTTATCATTACAAATGTTTGCTGGGGAATTATGTCCCAGTTTGCAGTTAAATTCTTGAGTTTACTAGTATCATCATCAATAAAATGTGATATCCTTTAACAAGGGAAGATATCTGATCATGTTTTCCCAAAGCTCCGCCCACAGAAGGTGTGACCAGCTGGAGTTAGCTTCCTGCCTATTGTATTCACCACACACGTATGTAGCGGCTGTGTTAGCATGCGGCTGTGTTAGCATGCGCCTGGCAGAGCTCAGACTCAGAAATGCATTTCCTGACTCTGCTCTTTTTGACATCTTATTATTTTAAAAACACTTACATAGATAGGACCTTCTATGTGCCAGACACAGTTCTAAGCCCTTTACAGATATTAACTCCTTAATCCTTATGGCAGCCTGAGGAGGAAGGTATTGTCCAGGGTCACACAATTAGGGCTGGTGGAACCAGGGGACTCGGACCCTGCAGTCTGGCCCTGCACGACGCTACGCATTGTCTCTTAATTTTCAGATAGCAGTAATTTGTATGCAATGAAAAATAAGATACGGTTCCTGCTCGCAAAAGGTTTACAAGCTCAATCTATTCCTTCTTTCTTTCCATACATATGTTCAAAGATCTTGACAGCTCTTTAACTTACTAGATATCTTCATTTATGAAGTACGTCCGATGTGTACGAGACACACAGACAGTGCAGGCTGCCTGTTAAGGAGCTCGCGTTAGGGAGAGATGCAATTTCATAAGTGCCGATGGATGGTTGTACTTCAATTAAAATTTTCCCAAGAGGTCATGTTTGGTTTGGAGTTTGCTGAACAGACAGATGGAGAGAGAGGTAGGAATTGTTGGTGGAAGTCACCATGGAGTGCTCTGAAGGAGTGGGTGGGACCAGGATGGAAATGATTAAGAGTGTGACATGACTCAGAGGAAGATCAGGTCTAAGTTCAAATGGCCTGCATTCCCTGATAAAAGGTGGAATTGATTCTATCAGTAATGAGAAATAATGAAGAAATTTAAGGAGAGGAATACGTGGCATACAATGGATTTGAGATCCATGAAATGGACATTTTAATTCAGAGCTGCCACTGAAAGTGAGGTGGAGTCCCAATTTCTTTTTTTTTTTAACTTTTCCCACTCATCTTCCTCCTCCAGCTCCTTTGTCTCCTCTTCTTTGGCCTCTCCTGATTTTTGGTCCTAACCCCCACCCAATCTTAACACTTCTTCCGGTAGTAAAAATGTCTATTTTATCAAGGTTTAATCACAAGTTGTTAGGAAAACACACAGTATCTCCTAGTACTTTCCATTAGTATTAAGCCCCCCATTAAGCCATATAATGAATTTAAATGTCAGCATTCTTTCTCCTTGCCGATTCAAAACTTCTCTTGTGTTAATGATATTTCAAACATCAATGTGAGAAAGAATATTCATTTGGAGGAGCAATAAACCATCGTAGGAAGAACCTAAAATGATGCTTCTCCAGTGATACCCTCCTCTTCTCACAGGAGAACCCATCCTGCCTCACTGAGATGCATTCAAACTCGTTGCATCCTAATGGAGAGAAACAGCAGCAGTGTGTCTCCCCAGAGCTCTGGGACTGCTTCTCAGGTTGGCTCCCTGAACGTGTGCTTCTGGTACAAAATCCTCCTCCCTAAGTCTGTCTCCACTGCTGTGTTTACTAAAAAGAGCTGTTAACAGATAATGCAGCTGGAACTACTTTAGAAAAGCACGTTGCAGATGAAAAGCAGGGTTATTCATTTGTATTTTCAGCTAGAGTCGAGCTCTGTATTTCTAGGCCACTGTATTCCTCCAGGAACTCTATATTCGAATGGCCCTGAAATTGCCACCTTTCTGTAATAGTGAGAAAAACACAGTTCGCCTTCAGTTCTTGTGGGTGAGGTCGCCGTTGTCCTTGTCAGCCTCTCAGAGAATCTTCTGTTTCTAGAGAAAAACTTAAAAGACAGCTCTCTGCATGGCCCCTGATTTGCACGAATGGTCTCCTTCAAGGGAAATCTTCTTTTTTTCCCTCTTGAATTTTTATGCCTTCTTTCCTTCTGTAGATCGAAGAATCAGTTGAGACCCACTTTGGCAGCCGTGGCAGAAGGGCCTTACTCTACGGGCCTCCTTCCTACAGCAAGAAGGAACTTCAGCTCCACCAGCGCATTCTCACTCAGCATCGCTATCAGGTTGTCATCGCTGAAGGAAGGCTCGGTGCTGACCTTGGGCTGGAGCTCCTGGGAAAAGGTCAGACTAAGAAGTAATTAAGCCGCTTACCATATAATGTTAAATACTTTCTGGAAAGCACTACTCTCTTCCTCTAAAAAATTCACAAGAGCAAATTTTTTTATCCATGATCAGCTTTCTTGCATCATAGGAAACTTGGCTCCTTTTCTGCTTCCTCTCAGTTCTCCTTTAGCTGCATTTCTTTCTTCCTAAAATTATTTTGTTTATATTTTTGTAGCATTTTGGAGTTACATAGTTCATCTTTAAACGCTACATAAAAAATGTTTATGTTTATGAGCCTGAATACGCGTTCTGCCCAGCACCAAACTGCTCCATATTTTACGAAAATTGCCACTTCATCTGACGGCAAGGAGAATGTGCTGGAAATTGTTTCAAGAAGCCAGCTTAAATGTGATTCACAGATTGTCTCTAAATGTGAAAGAAGTATGGATATTTATCTCACATGCCATTACTAGTCAAGTACTTTTATTTCTATCATTTGAAGTGAAAAATAAGAGACAAGTTTTTAAAGAAGTTATTTGAAAAGAAAGTTGAGTAGATGATGAGGGTCAAAAAGGGCAATAACGTTAAGAGCTGGCATTTCTTGAGCCACTAACCGTGTGACATGTTATATTCTGTATTCATGCCTCATTTAATCCTCACCGAAGCCCCCTGAGTACCCTGAGATGAGGACATATTAATCCCTCCCCCGATTCCAGAAGAGGAAACTGAAGCTTGATGGGGTGAAGTGACTCACCTTGTACCTTAAACCTGGGGGGTGGAAGGGCAGGGTGTGAACCCCTGTGTCCCCGCCCTCACTTCTGTGCTAGCCCTCTTCACCTCCTCGTTACCCACTCCCTGTTTGGACCCCTTACCCTGCACGAATCTGTCATGATTAGAACTACCGGGATGTGGAGCTCTCATTCCGCATGAACCAATCGGATTTTTCTCTTTATGATGACACAGTGTATCTGTTTTCTTATGTATCAAAAGGGAGGGGAGGAAAAGCTGATTCGAATTAACTGCTAATCTCCAGGGTGGTTTCCTTTGGGAGAAAACCATCAGATCCTGGTGCCACAGTAACTTTCATTTCTCATTTCACTTGCAACCCTCTTGCCATCCACATAGTGCTTGTTCTTCAGTTGGGTTCCCCCTTTGCTCTTTAAAGTGCTAGTTTATAGATCAACTACACTCCGATAAAAAACAGAATTAAAAAAATAAAAGATAATAAAGGAAAGTATCTTAAAGAGAGGGAAGAATTTCTTAAGACAAAGAAGGATCAACCATAAAAGAAACGATTGATAAACTTGACCGTATTAAAAATCAAGAATTTCTGTCCATCGAAGACAACCTAGGGTGAAGACAAAAGCCATGGAGTGGGAGAAGCTATTTATGTTACATGCTACTTACAGAAGACTGGTGTCCAGAATACCATTAGTACCCATATTCACACCAGAATACGAAGCTAACACATGTTATGACCCAGCAAGTCTACTCCTCGATACCGACAGAAACCCACGTGCACCAGGAGA